ATTTGGGTTTTTTTAGCGGATTAGGGTTTTCTTCTAATTTGAGATTTTAGCGGCCAAATTTTCATCGATTTAGTCAACTCTTTATTGCAGTCCATATATGATTATATAATTAATCTATGATAATTCTATGATTTCTTTTGTGTGATGTAAATTTAATGGTCAACATAAGTTCATACAGGGAAAGAACATCTCAATATTCATAAATTGATGAAAACAATGAAAGTTAATAATGTAGTACCCCCATTTCTTATTGGATTCCTAAAAAACAACATTTATAATGAATTTTAGTTTTTTTTTTGAATTTTTTTAAGGCTTAATCCGAGCGATTCGGCCCGATTCCCGATCCGGATCGCCGATCCAGATCGATTTTTAGGATGCCCGATCCGAGTCACCGATCCGTTTTTTAAACCACTGGTTCTTGCCATATTTCTTGGGCAAATTCAGTTTACACCAGAGTATACTGCTAGTCTAATAAAATTCATGATGTGTTCAGGTGAGATGGTAATTATTGCCTGTGTTGTGTTGATCGGACTCTTCGCCCTCCAGCATTTTGGAACACACAGGGTGGGCTTTATGTTTGCACCAATAGTTATCATTTGGCTGTTCTGTATCAGTGCCATCGGCATATACAACATCATCTATTGGAATCCCAAGATCTATCATGCACTCTCTCCGTATTATGTGTACAAGTTCTTCAAGGAAACAGGAAAAGAGGGTTGGATTTCTCTTGGGGGGGTACTTCTTTGTATTACTGGTATGTGTCGACTCCATTGATTGATTAAGATTTTTTTTAATTGGTATCTATAATCTATAGGTACATAATATGATCATACTAATAACGATAAGATAAGTCCTTATAAATGATGAATGACTACAATTGGAGAAATTAAGGGTCTTCTGTAATTACATCCATATAATGGCTGCAGCTTCTTTTTCTCATAGTTGCTTCATGAAATACGGGTGTATCAAGATGATATGTATGCAACAAATGCAATAAAAAAAAATTTCCTGTATGCATGCAACAAGTACATGATATGCAATTTTATGCACTGTCCATATGGTACAGTCGTGATAGAAGACAGAAATCCCATGGTTGACTCTTCTCTAATAATCCCTTCTCTTTATAGTTTCCCTTTTCTAATTTATATTTTCTGTCTGGAGAGTCATCAGCCGTTTCAGCTTTTTTAAATCAGAAAATTATATTCCCAATGGTATGGTAATCTTAAAAATCTCCTTAGGTGCATCTACAGTGCTCCCAGTGGCCCATGTGTGTCCCCCGATAATTGCGTTCACTTAATTGTCTTCATAGCCCTCCCACTAAGTGTCTGCAGATACTTACAAATAGTGCATTACTCATCTCTCTTGGTCTTGAAATTCCAAGATCTCCTGATTTGCAAATTGCCTCGTATTTTACTCATTGAAATTGGTACACTTGCCGCCCCCCTTTGAGAAGAATTCCCCTGTGATCTTCCCCACTTCTCTTCTTGTTGACCGGGGATGTAAAATGATTGATTGGAGCATAGTGGGACGTGGGAGAATGCAGCATTGACCAACCGTGTTGAAATAGATACTGACTTTTTTTTTGTTTTGAAGCGGACTTCCTCAAAACTATTTGAATGTTGGGTCCAAAGGATTTGTTTCTCATCTTTCCATTTTAGAGGGACACATTTAGTTTGATATTGGGAAGCAGCCTCGCACTACACACAATACACACAATCAGGTAGGCTTTTGCTTCTGGCTCTGGGTGGGTAATATATACCCGTCATTGACCCAATTCCCACTATCAAAATTTTCCTCGTGGTCAAGTTGGTAAGAGTTAATCCCCCTGCCTTGCCTTTAGGTCATTAAAACAGTTATTTGGAATTTATCCTAAAAGACTTAAAGGGAAACATGGCTATCCATTTTCTCTGAAATCACAGGTCGGTCGCAACACGCTTAACTATTGGCCATTGTGACATCTAAGACCCTAAACCCTTTTGGGTGATATGAAACTCCCATAAGAAAAAAAACAGAAAAAAGAGAAAAAAAAGATCATACCTGTTTTCCCTTTTTTCAATGAATATAATATTTAGTTATATTGAGCAAAGTAACTGAATTGTTCTTCTCACATAAATTGGTTTTTGTTTTCAGGAACTGAAGCTATGTTTGCTGACCTTGGTCATTTCACTGCAGCATCCATCAGGGTAATGAATCTGTAGAAATGATCTCCTGCTTTTTTCTTATCTTTTTACCAACTACAGTCCCAAACTGAAGTTCCGTTTGTGTTCTGTTGAGCAGGTTGCGTTTGCTGGAGTAATATATCCTTGCTTGGTATTACAGTACATGGGACAGGCTGCATTTCTATCGAAGAACATCTCAGACATCGAATATAGCTTCTACAACTCCATTCCTAGCAAGTTCCTTTCCAGAATTCCCTATTATATTGAATGTTCTTCTAAATGTTGTTTTGTAGGATGTTTCAAAAAAAAAAAAAAATGTTGAAACAATAAAATAAAAAATGTGGTTTTGTGGAACGTAACGTCATGATGTCCTTTTGCAGAGCCTGTATTTTGGCCCGTCTTTGTCATCGCCACGCTTGCAGCCATTGTTGGAAGCCAGGCCGTCATCTCTGCAACTTTCTCGATCATAAAGCAATGTCATTCACTTGGTTGTTTCCCGCGCGTGAAAATTGTTCATACCTCGAAGCAAATTTATGGGCAGATTTATATTCCAGAAATAAACTGGATACTCATGGTTTTATGCCTCGCCATAACCATTGGGTTCAGGGACACAACCTTAATTGGGAATGCATATGGTTAGTCTTCATAACAGTGTCACATATTTTGTTGAAAATCTGCAAGTAAGTCATTTTTTGTTAAAAAGAAAGTGTGCTATAACCCAGAGCAATATGGGAACTTGTTGTCTATTGGGATGATTAAGGTTCATTTAAATGATGGATGGTGATGGAGAGTGATGGAGAGAGGGTATCACTTACCAATGGAAGATATGCCTCTTCTGGTGGGTCCTGCTGTCCATCACCAATCCTCTTCATTGTCCATAGTCCACGGATTATGGAGTTTATTATATGCTTCCCATTAGGGAAGCTTAACTACCATGAATTGGTAAAATCTTGTTTTTCCAAAAACTTCATGTTATAAAAAGTAAATAAAGTTTTACATCTAGTGTTTGCAAAAAAAAGAAAATGCACATGGAATGGCAGACTATACTCTCTCCCTCTCTCTCTCTCCTCTCTCTCTCTCTCTCTCTCTCTCTCTCTACTCTACTACTTACTACTTACGTTACTTACGTTACTTACGTTACGTTACGTTACGTTACGTTACGTTACGTTACG